CCATGCCATCACACCATCACCATTATTTCCCTCCACCACTGCTCTGCTCTCGCCATCTATCCATCTTCAGAGAACCATGTGATAGCTTTTACTCTTCTTATCTTCTGCCAACTACACATATAACCATCTACCTATTTTACTGTTTGAATGCATGTATATATATAGATAGCTTGTACTATTGTATCAACTCAACAGAAATAGATTCCATCAATAGAATTACTCTTTACATACTTCCACAGGCAATATGGACATGAATAGGAATCCTGCCCCAAGAAGCGCGTTCCGGCTCCAACCGAGGAAGATTTACGCGTCGCGCATGTACCACAATAGAAGCTTCCCATTTAACAACAACGCCCAGAGATCTTCCAAGACTATGGGCCTTGGATGATCGTGTCAGCAACCGAAGGCGAAGATCCCCGCCCCAACAAGGCCATAACACGACCTCTACTGGGAGAGGTAATGTCATGCGTAAGGGAGTCGATACCCTATTCGTCTCAACTTCTAGATTTAAAGCTTTGGAGTTAGAGATGACAATGGGTTGGTTGGGTCGGGTTTTGCCAAACCCAAACCAAAACCCATGGGTTTATCCGTGAAAAAAACCTGGGGTAAATAAGGAGTCCGTCGACCCAAAGTAGTGTGTTTGCATGGGTTTGAAAAACTCAAACCCAACCCAACCCGCTCGGTATCCGCGAGTTCATGGGTACCCATGGGTTTTTGTCGTAAAAAATTTACAATAACAAGTTCCTATCAAAATAAAAGTCAAATATTAATCTCTCAATACAAATTATCCATATATAAAACACCATTCTAGAAAATTCAAGCAAATCACAAATTAACCATACAAATTGTTCAACACCAATCTAGATTACTCAAGAAAATTGAAGCAAATCACAAATTATCCATTAAACAACATGATTAATTGAAGCTTCTTCCTCCTTGTTAATTAAACTTCTTCACTCTCCACTTGATAATATCAACTTCATTCTACACAATTAGAAAGAAAAAATTAGACATGTCTCCACAAACATAAAGAAGATTAGTTGCTTAGAATATTAAATATACCGAGAAAATTAATTATATGAGTATGGGGGGTATCCATGGAGCAGGTATACCTAAACCCAAACCCAACCCGATGAATAGTGAACGAGTTTAAACCCGAACCCGACCCAAAATCTGTCAACATGGGTTTTACCAGCGTTGACCGGATTGGGTCGGATAGGGTACCCCTGGGTTCGGGTTTAATTGTCATCCCTGTTTGGAGTCACTTGACGATGAACTGAGAGAGCATGATGGTGTGCTTATAGAGATTAATAAACAAGCTGATAGAGAAGGACGGGGCTTGATGGTTTAATTGTCATCCAAAGAGTCATGCGTAGAGGTCCCATCTTCATCCGTCATGGATGTTGAGAGTGATTAAGCTTCTCCTTCGTTCAGGGAAGTACCTGTGTCTTTTTACTTTAGTGTCATTCGTTGCTCTGAGCTTTTATCTTTTACATGTTTAGTCTTTTTGCTTGAAATTTTCGAGGCGCAGCTGACCCCAATTTTCTCCATCATTTTCGTGAATTTTGTAGGATACATCATCCTACAATTACAATTATTCTAGAACCAAAAATCAGCAGGACAGATGCGGATGCGGTAATCCATGGTATGGGGTTCGACAAGAATTGTAGAGTTGAGGCAAGGGGTTTCGCTGGTGGAATATGGGCGGTTTGGAACTCCTTGGAGGTCTCCCTGCATTTTGAAGAATCCACAGACCAGCTTCTCCATTTTTGGTTTACTTTACCGAATGGAGAAGATGTATTCCTCTCTTGCATTTACAGCTCCCCTACCCCTTGAAACCGCCACTCTCTATGGGAAACCATGCGCAGACTTCATGGCACTATCGATCTGCCTTGAATTTTGATTGATGATTTTAATGCACTCCTCACCCCGACAGATAAATCAGGCGGAGCTAAGTTCAACGTAGCTCAAAGCAGGGAGTTCCGCACGTGTGGTGAGGATTGCAGCTTGACCGACTTACCATTCCAGGGTCCTCATTTCAATTGGACGGGGCCAAGTCAACTGAAGGAGCATCTTGATAGAGCTCTTTGCAATGATTGATGGCTGCAGCAGTACCCGAAAAGCTCCACGTTACACTTACCGAGTCGGATCACCGACCCATCCTTGTTACTCTTGATAATGGACGGCACAGGCCCCGGTCAGGGAAGCCATTTCGCTTCCTGGCCCCGTGGCTACTGCCACTGACTTTATTCGTGACTTCGTGTACTACAAGAAGGATGGATCAAGGGTGATCATTATGGAGTGCGCCTGCAAGCTCTCACAAGGGACCTACAGGAATAAAACAAAAAAGTGTTCGGTAATATCTTTGCAAGGAAGAAAGCCCTTAGTCGAACACTCCAAGCTCTTGAACTTCAGAATGAGACTCGACCTTCTCCTCACAACCTCGCCCAGGAAGAGGAAATATGCAAAAATCTTATTGAGACCCTTAAACAGGAGGAACTCTTGTGGTATCAAAAGTCAAGAGCTCCATGGATGGTGGATGGTGATCGAAATACCCGTTTCTTTCATCTCTACACCCTGAAATGCCACAGCTAGAACCGGATTCGCAGGATGAAATGTCAAGATGGTAATTGGGTGGAGGATGGGAAAGAGCTCAAGTTTCTAGTACGAGACTAATTTGTGGAACTCTATACCCACATCCACACGACAGTGGACCTCCTTCCGGCACATTTCCCATCTATGGAGAATTATGGCGCCCTGGCGATGGACATCCATCCGGAGGAGGTGCTCGCAACGATCAAGGACATGGGTCCCTACAAAGCACCTGAGAAAGACGGCTACCAGTCACTCTTCTTCCAAAGGTGCTGGGATATTGTAGGAGAATCTTTTTCTCAGTTTATTGCGAAGTGCTTCAGTTACCCGGAGGTTATCTCTACATTGAACGAGACATCGATCACCCTCATCCCAAAAAAGTGAGCCCGACTTTAGTAACGAAGTTCCGACCAATTGGGCTCTGTAACGTCTCTTATAAGGCGCTTACCAAATGTTTGGCCAATCGTCTCAAGCCGATGATGGACAGACTTGTGCATCCTAATCAGACGAGCTTTGTGTCTAGTAGGAGTATCCAGAATAGCATCATCATTATGCAGGAAGTTGTTCATACTATGCGTACAAGGAAGGGCAAGGAGGGGCAAATGGTGATTAAAATAGACTTGGCCATGTGATGGGCTGGATTGGGTGTTCGTGGCCTCTACCCTTGATCTCGCAGGTCTCTCGCAGAATTTCATTACGACTGTAATGCACTGCATTACGACACCTACGTTTGAAGTCTTGTGGGATGGAGCGTGCACAACCTGGTTCCGACCGATCCACGACCTTCGTTAGGGGTGCTCCCTATCTCCCTACTTGTTTACGCTATGTATTGCAAGCCTAATCCACTTGATACAGGAAGTTGTGGCTGAACGAAAATGGAAGCCCATCCTGCTGGTTCGAGATGGGATAGAGCTAACTCATCTTTTCTCTCGTTCTTTTTGCAGGGGAAAGCATGGAGCAAGTTGGAGTCGTGACGAATTGTCTGTCTCACTTCTGCAACACTTCAAGAGAGCTGGCCAGCTGCGAGAAATTTTGAGTTTTCTTCTCAAAGAATGTCGAGCGAGATCTTGGACGAGCCATTAGCGATAAACTCCATATACTGGTAACATAGGGTTTGGGGAGATATCTAGGTGTTCCTATCCTACATGGAAGAATGACGAAGCGGACGTATCAATACATTGTCGACAGGGTTGATCAGAGACTGATAGGATGAAAACAAACAATCTTTCACTAGCGGGAAGGGTTACTCTAGCGTCATTTGTCATGAATGCTCTTCCCTCTTATGCGATGTTGCTTGCAGGTATTTGTGACTACCTAGACCGTAAGACCAGAGGATTTGTCTGGGGATCACAACAAGACCGCTGCAGAATACACTTGGTCGATTGAGAGACAATTTGTCTAACTAAAGACCAAGATGGCCTAGATCTGAGGAATGCTCGCTCTCTAAACAAAGGCTATTTCCTAAAATTGGCATGACATATCCTCAAGCACCCGGATGAGCTTTGGGTCTGTGTCCTGAAAGAAAAATACCTCAAGGACGGACCTGAAGGAGTGCAACTACAACAAAAATCAGGAGGCTCCTCACTATGGCAAGGAGTTCGACGTGTTTGGCACCTGCTACTGGAAGGAACTCGATGTAGCGTGCGAAATGGTCTTAACTCATCTTTTTGGTTTGATAGGTGGATAGACAATGGGGGAAGGCTGGCGGACCATGCATATGTGCAAAAATCAGTTTTCCCAGCGGATGCGACGGTGGCAGATATGGTGAAGGACTTAGGTGAGTGGAATATCAAATTAATCTCTCGGTACTTACCCCCGCCTTTTGTTTTGCAGGTTATTGGAATGCTGCCACCATCACTCCACCTAGGAGATGACGAATTAGTATGGGGATTGGAGGCAAAAGGGCATTTCACTCTCAAGTCCGCCTACCAATTCATGGACGACATCGATGCCGATGACGCGCATGCATGCTAGAAGGTGATTTGATGATGGTCGGTACTGAGCAGGGTACACCACTTCCTTTGGCTGGCGGCCCACTGCTCACTCATCACCAACGACGAGAGGCGCTGTCGTCACCTCACGACCTCTACGACATTCCCGCATTGCAAACAGGAGGTGGAAACGGCTAAACACACTTTCCGTTGTTGCCCGTATGCATGCCAAGTGTGGCAACAAGCACTTCCCGCCGTTGACCTTTCGACGGACCAGAGATGCTTCAAGGACTGGTTCCTGGCGTGGCTCTCCAACCCCGAGCATCAGGTTCGCTTTGGCTTCACTTATTGGTTCTTATAACATTCACAAAATGATTTCCTTTTCCCAGCCATCGATGAAGCCCCTAGTAAGCTCAAGCAAAGATCCTAGCCTGGGAGATCGTCGCGATTCAGAGTAAGGCAACAGAACACAATACTTCACTGGTGAGGTCGGAGTCACGTCGAGACGTGGCTGTTGGGTGGAGACCGGCTCCGACAGGCTGGCTCACAGTGAAATCTGGCGACTCGCTTCTGCGACTGTCAGGGTCCACTGTTGTAGGGGGCGCTCTTAGAGATGGGCATGGTTGCTTCCTAGGGGACTATTCGATGAACCTGGGGAAATGCACAATCACTCGCGTGGAGCTATGGGGCGCACTCAAGGGCCTCGAACTTGCATGAGATTCAGGTTACATGCAAGTTGAAATTCAGATGGACTCAGTTACAATAGTTCATCTTTTCGCACCAGATACACCGACGGATAAGCCAGCATGCTAGCATTGTTCTCGCCTTCTGCGAGTTGCAAGCCAGAGACGGGTATACGCAGGTGGTTCACATCTATTACGAAGCCAACTTCCTAGCGAATTTTCTTGCCCACGGGGGCATGTTAGTACCATGATCCTTAACCTTGTTGCCATCTGACCCTATGATATCACATTGGCTCTTGTATGACTCTATCGGTGGTTTTACCGTTCGATGTGTAAATGATTAATTAGCACGATGCTTTGCCCCGTCCTTAAAAAAAAGTATCTATTTTCCTTACCGAATCTGGACCGGGTCAGCCCACATTTGACATTTCGACAAGGGTTTACAACTAGGGATGGCAATGGGTAGGGTCGGGTGCGGGTTTACCTTATAACAACTCCGAACCCGTCGGGTAGAGCCTTCTAAAATACCCGAATAAATACTCACCGGGTATGAAAATTATATAACCATACCCTACCCACCGGGTAACCACGGGTATTCGGGTAACCATGGGTACGAATCCTAAACTATGAACTTATACACATATATGCACATACATACTATTGTCCATTAAAAATCCACACAAATAAAAATAGCAAACACATAATATTTTTTCTTGCTTCTACAATCCACACAAACATAATAATCGGCTACATCTTCATCATCAATAATGGTAGCTAAACTCAATTTCTCAAACTAAACTGAACTTCTCAAGAGAAATTGACCCCTTGGTTAGTGGGGCGGGTATAACGGGGCGGGTATTATTGATTACCATACCCGTACCCTACCCTTTATTTTGAAACCGGGTATTACCCGTACCCCCACTAAACCCGTCAAAGCCGGTAATTACCCTCGTTGACCGGTTACGGTCGGGTAGGGTACCCATGGTTACGGGTTGGATTGACATCCCTATTTACAACCTTGATAAACTAAATAATTATTAATTAAAGAGGAGAAAAGAAAAAAAAAGCTCTCTCCTCTCTCTTTCGTGGGGAGTGGGAATGAAGTATTCGTCGTTGTGCGACTCGCCGACTCGGCCACTCCGCCATCGTGCTCCACCGGTAACGGTCTGCGGGACGATGGGGGTTTTAAAGCCACCACCCTGGGCTATGCGATTCCATTCGCCAATCTGGGATTCGTGCCCTCCTTGTGTTCAATTTGTTGCAAGTTCCTGGTTACCCTACCTTTCTTCCCGCACCATGGCTGGGGTGAACGCGGTGGTTTTTGGAGATGAAGACATCGATGCCGGTGCTCAACGCAACGACCTCTCACTGCTGGGAAGGGTGGTTGGCCCGATGCCCTCAGTTCGTCACCTCCAATCGACGCTGGGGAGACTCTGGCATTATCGCGGAGCCATCTCAGTTCTCCCGGCGCCGGAAGGTTTGCTGCAGTTCATCTTTCCTTCAGCAACGGACATGAACCGGGTGCTTCGGGAGACGCCATGGTTCCTTCCCAAATTCCTTGTGCACCTCGCCCCTTGGGTGGAGGTTTCCCCGGAGGTTGCAGACCAACTTTGGTGTATATCGCTGCAGCTTCAATTCTGGGGAGTTCCTCCGCCTTGCTGTACTTCCAAGCTAGGCACTCTTCTTGGTCTGGCTCTGGGGAAGAGCGACCCTGCTTCGGTTCACAAGGTAACCGCCACGGGTGAACTCTACCTCAATGCTAAGGTATGGATTGATGGGCGCCTCCCCCTTCCGGTGTCAATTCCGGCATCCCATGAGAAGGTCGGCAGGGGTGGATTCACGGCGATCGTCAAATACAAGCGCCTGTCCCAATTCTGTTACCTCTGTAGGGTGCTGGGGCACATTGGGCAGTAGTGTCCTCGGCGCGAGGAGCTGGCTGGTACTGACACTCCCTACAGCAAAGATATTGTCTCACAGCAATCTGGGCCGAAAGTACATGATCGCCTGTTGTTGAGTCGGAAGCAATTCACCTGGGTGAGACAGGAGATGGCAAAGCCAGCGCAGCCTCCTATCCAAGCATCGAGTGGATTTCTACTGTCAGCGCCACCATCTGGGGGTCTCTGTTCCTGCTGCTAGTGGGGAGACTTCAACTCCAATGATCAGGGGTAGAGACATAGACATGGGAGGTGTGGATGATGAAGTGAAGAACAAGAAGGCTCGCCGGGACTCAATGGAGATGGGACCTGCCGAGGAGTCGACTGAAGTGGTGGAGGCAACCAGCCCGAACTGGTCCCACCCTGTCCAATGAGCATTCTCGCCTGGAATTGTCGGGGACTAGGCTCACCCCTGACAATTCCTTCCCTCTTCGAAGCCATTTGTCGGTTCTCGCCTCCCATAGTGTTTCTCAGCGAAACCAAACGTGATGATGATTTTGTACATAAGAAATTGATGCGTCTAGGATTTCCTTTTGTCCATTGTGTCTCCCCTGTGGGTAGAGCAGGAGGTTTAGTTGTTTCTTGCGCCTCCAACGTTCAGTGTCGTATTGTAGGAGAGTCTGATTTCTACTTATTTGTTGAGTGTCAGCATCTAGTGTGGGGATTGATGGGTATCTTCTTTGTTCACCTTAGCTGCGATGTAAATACTCGTGTTGCTCAGTTTAATGAACTTATCAATTTGCTTTTGTCGTGTGTGCTGCCAAAGATAGTCATAGGGGACTTTAATTGCATTCTGCAGGCATCAGAAAAACAGGGAGGCAGACCTCCACCCTTTCAGATGATGGAAACTTTTCGTGAGTTTATTGATCTTGCAGGGCTGCTGGATTTGGGGTTTAAAGGATCTCCCTTTATTTGGTCCAACCGTCAAGGCCTATCATCTCACATTCTTGAACGCCTTGATAGGGGATTAGCCACTGATAACGTTCTCTCGCTTTGGCCTGATGTGCAGATTGCTCACCTTACTGATCTTGGTTCAGATCATCGGATGCTATTGTTGCAGTTTATTCCAGGAGCTGATAAAGGGAAGCCGCGATTCCACTTCGATATTCGTTGGTGCACCAATGTTGATGCGCGCGAGATAGTGGCTAGAGAAGGGCAGAGTGTCTTTCATGGCACAACACAATATCAGCTGTTCTCCCTTTTCAAGGCTGTGCGGCACCAACTAGTCCAGTGGGCGAGACTTGGGACTACCAATGTTGCACGTCAAATTCGCGAGCTGCGGACAGCTATTGAAGATGAACGAGACAAGATACCGATTGATTGGGAACTCATCAAAGGTATGGAGGTGCAACTATCGACGACCTATTTGCAAGAAGAAGTGTACTGGAGTCAAAAATCAAGAGTGACTTGGCTTCACAAAGGGGACGCAAACACCAAGTATTTCCACCTTACCACTACCCAACGTAGAAGACAAAATAAAATCGAAGTCCTGCAGGATGATGCCGGGACACCTCATTACGACGAACTCGGCAAGGGGAGTGTGGCTGTTGGGTATTTTGAAAATCTCTTCTTAACTACTGGTCATTCACCTCACTTTCTTGTTAATGCTCTAGGTTTGCAAACCAAAGTCACTGCTGCCATGAACTACTTCCTGACAGCCATAGTGACCTGCGAGGAGATTCGACGGGCAACCTTCAGCATCGGCCCGGGACAGGCCCCTGGGTCGGATGGACTAACATGAGCATTTTCCAGACCTATTGGGACATTATAGGTGATGTTGTTTGCCGGGCAGCGCTATCTTTTTTCAGGACAGGGCGTCTTTTGCGGAGTTTCAACCACACTATCATCACCTTGATCCCGAAAACTTCAAATGCAGATATGATGAGGCAAATGCGACCGATAAGCCTATGTCAAGTGTTCTATAAGATCATCTCAAAGATTCTCACCGCCCGGCTCAGTGCTATATTACCATCAGTAATATCAGATTCTCAGAATGGATTCATTAAAGGCCGCGATATCTCCGATAACATTTTGATTGCACAGGAGGTGATGCAATTCCTGAAGACTAAAACTCTTGGACGGGATAAATGGATGGCGTTGAAGCTCGACATGGACAAGGCATACGATCGAGTTGAGTGGGGTTTCCTCTTTTCTGTGATGGAGGCATTGGGGTTCTGCGAACAGTGGCTGAAGTGGATCAAAGCGTGCGTGACGACAATTTCTTTTACTGTGGTTGTGAATGGCAACGAGCATGGGTACTTCCAGCCCCAGCGAGGCATCCGGCAAGGGGATCCACTTTCACCACTCTTGTTCGCCATTTATACAGAGGCATTTTTGACACTTCTACTTAATGCCCTTAGTTCCCAGCAGCTCCATGGCCTAAAGATTCACCGGCTTGCACCAACACTCTCCCACCTCTTCTTTGCCGACGATACTTACCTTTTCCTGAGGGCAACTTCGGCTGAATGTGGGAATTTGCTCCAATTATTACAGATCTTTGAGGAGGCCAGTGGGTAGCGGATTAATCTACAGAAATCTTCGGCGTGCTTCAGCAATAATATTAGCCATTCAGAGTCGGTTGCATTGGGCGCTTCACTCGGCATCTCGGCCATAGGCCCCCTGGATAAATATCTTGGGCTTCCTGCTCAAATACAGCGTTCCAAAGTGCAGACCTTCCAATTTGTTGAAGATAAGCTTGCTGCCCGTATCCAGAGTTGGCGCTCGAAATCGCTATCTCTAGCTGCGAAAGAGGTCGTAATCAAGGCTGTTGGATCCGCATCACCCGTCTACACCATGTACTCTTTCAGGCTTCCCTCTACTACCTGTCGACGCCTTAATAGCCAACTTGCTCGATTCTGGTGGGCGGGTCAAGACAAGGATCGGGGCATGCATTGGATTTCCTGGTCTGCGATATGCATTAGCAAGTTTCATGGGGGACTAGGCTTCCGGGACTTTGATCTTTTTAATGTGGCAATGTTGGCCAAACAGGCCTGGAAGATCCTAGAGTCCCCGGAGTCCCTGCTTGCGAGGCTGTACCAGGCAAGATACCATCCACACTGCCATTTTCTCATCGCCCCCACAGGTTCTCGGCCATCATGGG